AATTCGTAATGATAGAAATTGCCATATTTTTGTATCTAGTATAAATACTAAATATATTAAAAATTACACCACAATTTGCACGTTATTATTTCCTGTCCGTCAATGTGTTAAAGAGGGAAAAATCCTTAATCGGTTATTAATTAACGACGGTTGAAGTCTTATTAAAAGTTATCATGTTATCCCAATAACATGATCTGATTTGTAATTTGTACCCATCAGTGAAAAATACTAGGTATAACTATAGCTCCCATCTCTAACCTACCGCAAAATAGTATGTGTATACGTTTTTGATTTAGGAATTGAATGATGCAATTTTTAGCGGGCTGAACATCACCGTAATAAATATAGCAAATTAAATAATAGTATTTTACCATGTACATAATGATGAAACGGCTAATTTAAATTTATAATCAAATACAAAAGTTTTAGAATATATCTAGTAAAATTATTAATAACAACTATAATACTTTTATGTCGGTAAAAACAGTTTAAACGTAAATCCAGAATAAAAGTTTTTTAATGTCGATAGGGAATACTGGAAAATATTCATTTTTTTTATAAAATGAATACGTTTAGGTATAAAATCCCTAAGAGAAAATTCCCAGTGGCTTTATAGCAAAATATAAAATAAAAAGGAAATATGTATAACAACTTGTCTTTTTTTGAATGGTTATATTTCTATATTAAAAAGAGATTTAAAAACCTTTGTTAGGACGACGTATTAAAACTTTAATTCGAAAGTAGTGACATGATTGAAGAATTAGTTAAATGGGGAACTTTACAATTAATGTAGTTTAACCTACTACAAGGGTTAGGTACTCATATCTTTTTATAATTTTTGATTGTAGTTAGGCCCTGATGTTGGATGGTATATTTTTCTATGTTTTGACTGTGCTAATACTTGGAAAGACATGGTGGTGCATACATTGTTTCCTTTTCGTTAATTCAAGTTTTAATATGTAAAATAAATGCAAAGATCTTTTTATGTGGCTACACGCACGTTATACTTACGACTCACTGATGATGGTCTGACAGAATCGAAAACGTTTTGATTCAACTAATCCTTTTGGATATTTTTTTATATTTAAATATACCTATTACACAAATAGAAGGAACTACTACTACAATAATTATAATGGTAATTTTTGATGGCAAAGCAATTGTGAAAATAATAGTGATGTAGAGCTTCAATTAAATGGAGTCCAAGTTAAAAAAGTTCACAAAACTACATATTAGGGAACTGTCATAACTGACCTACTAGATCCAGACAAAGAAATAAAACGAAGAATAGCGATGAATAAAACTACTTTTATGAAAATGAAGACATTCTTCGCAATAGTCATCTCAGTATAGAACTAAGACAAAGAATGGTTGAGTGCTATATTTGGTCTGTACTTTTGTATGCAGCAGAAGTGTGAATACTAAAAGTGTCAAGTATGAACAGAATTGAAGCATAGATGGATGCTGAAGATACCTGTGACAGCAAAAAAACTAACGAGGAAGTACCAAGGAGGGTCAACAAAGATATAGAATTGCTAAAGACTGTTAAACACCACAAAATTACTTATCTGGAACATATAGTAGGGGAAAATCGATATGAAGACTCACCCTTAAAGGCAAAATAAAATGTCGTAGACTCAAATATCAAATGTAGGAGAATTATTCCAGGGCCGTAGAGGTGTAGGAAGAAAACAAGTTTCTTGGTTAAAATACATTCGTGAATGGACTCAGCTACCAAATGCGGGACAATTATTCCATATTGCAGAAGATCGAGACGCCTTCTCAATGATGATCGTCAATCGTCGGATAACTCTGATATGACATGTGAAGAAGAAGAAGAAGAAGAAGAAGGCATCAGAGAACATTGAGGAAATATATGGAAATGCATGAAATAGAGTTCACTGATCTGTTATGTTACAGAAAGGTTGATTGCAATGAAATTCAAAGAAAAATTCGGTCAAAATTGGAATAAAAAAAATAAAACATTTTACGTGGATCAGTGGGGGAGAAAGATTGATAGAATTAAATAATATAAAGGGTTGTTGAGTGGTAAGTCGCCGAAAGTAGTAGGGGAGGAAGGCAAAACAATCTTTGTGGGGATTAAATATGATAAATATCAGAAACTTATCTGCAAATCTAATTAGGAAAGCTCTTATATTAATAAAAGTAAAATTGATGAAGCTTATAAATAGAATTTTTTTATTTGGTCTGAAGAAAATTCATTCAAAAAAATAATGGAAACCGTCATACATTTTACTATATTTAAAAAAGAAAACAAAGCGAACTGCAAGAGCTATAAACACCTACCGCTAACGAAGAATATGAGCATAGACACAAAAAATGTTTGCTATGTAGACGACAAAATCCTGATCTCAGATATCGAAGATCACATACAGCGAATGGTACAAACATTCAAAACCGCGACGGAGACACAATATGATTTTTCTTTCGAACCTCGACATTTGAGGTCCAAACCTATGGTTGTGGCAAGAGAACCCACATAATGCAAACTAATAATTAACGACGGGTATTAAAGAGACTTAAGACCAACAGGTCTTACCAACAAGTCAACAGGAAGATCATTTAAAAGGTGACAAAATAGATAAAAAAACAATCTAAAAGTTTAAAGCCTAATATAAAAGGAAGAAGACAATGAGTAAGCTTAATGAGGAAATAATATAATACTGACACAACAAAATGTTAACTAACCCCACAGCACCAAACTAGTTCAAAGCAGGTCCAGCAGTGACAATACAATGTTTCCTATTCATAATTAATATAACCTTAAGACAAAGACAAGATAAATATGTAAGCGGGTCTGAAGATAGATATATTTAGAATCCTCAGTAATTGAGGTGAAAAGTGGTTAAAAGTGAAATGATGTAAAGATGAAGTAGAAAAATAAGATCTTTTAATTTAATGGAACAGACATAAAACTGTTGCTGACAAACTTTTGAAGCAAAATCAAAGAATAAAACTGACGCAATAAAAAACCCTTCAATTGAAATGGTAACCTTTAATTTGCAACAAGTCTTACAAACTTCTTATCTACGTTCAACTATAATGTTTTATAAACGTCAACTGGCTATATTATTTAACAGTTCATGAAGGTGACACAGAAGTAGGATGGAATTTTATGTGGAATGAAACAATCGCAGAAGGACGTGGTAACCAGATTGGTTCTTGCGTATACAGATATATTTCCCAACACCAGATATAACTCATTTGATCATGTCTTCTGATACATGTATAGGTCAAAACAGAAATTCACATATAGCTGTTATGTGTTTTTCAGCGTTACACAACTCTTCTACTTTGCAGTCTATAGATCACAAATTTATAATAAGTGGACATTCACGTATGGAATGTGACGCAGTGCATGCAAATATAGAAAAGAATAAAAAGAAGACATACATAGATATTCATCATCCACGTGACTGGTCTCAGTTAATCCGATCAATGAGACCGAAATATATTGTGGTAGATATGGATCAACCAGATTTCCTAGATTTTAAGCAACTGTATGTCAAAGAATTACAATTAAAAACAAAAGATGACGAGAATAATAAATTTGTGTGGCATGTTATACAATGGATGCGATTTATGAAAGAAGAAAATATGTGTACTAAGTAGGTATAGAACGTCTCTAGAATTAGATGTGCCTTTTAAAAAAATATCTTTTCTAAAAAGAGGACAAAATATTCCAGATTTAAGGCCTGCAACCTTTTAATAATAATTAATGACTACAGATGCCATTTTTTTCATAATACATGTATTGAGATTCTAGAAAACTTAAGTCATATAACCCATAATTAATTGTCATTTTTTTATGAATTTAAAATAATTTTGATCTAGTTAGCTATGTAACTCCTAGATAAACAATACACCAAAACTGATATACAGTTAAACTCTTACATTTAGTAACGATTTTAAAGTTATGATTCTGGAAAAATGTCATAATATTTCAAACTCGTATTTCTCGACACAACGGTTCCTGACTTAAGAACTGTTACCCTGCGATCACAGAATTATTGGCTGCGAATCCTTAATGGCATGATTCTAAATCAGTAAACTCTAATGAGATAATCAACATCCCGTGGAATCTTTAAAAATAAGTAGTAGTAGTCTCCATAAAGTAGTAACTAGATATAAAAACGTATTCCCTAAAAATGACAGATGGAAGAGATACTTAATAATAATATATAATAAATACATTCAGTAATAAAATGGTTCATCAAGAAGTCTTCTATTATAGGATTATTACAATATACCTAGTTTGGAAGTATTTGTTTCGTTTAACTAATGAATGTGTACATTTCATAATATTATAGACAGTCATCAACAATAAACTATTCAATTATTGATAATTATCTCTATTATATCTTTTTGAAAAGTGAGAAAACTTATCGAACGCGAAAGATGACATACAAAATTTAAAGATAGTTGATTTTTTTTCCTTTAAATTTACGGTTTTACAAATAGTTGTGAAGAATCAATTTTACAAAGACACAAAAATAATATTTAGAAGTTACCAAAAAGAAAATTTATTCAGATGCACTTGTGACAACGTTTCAGTGTCAACGACACTATTATATTCAATCTAATGTTTAAAAACATGTGGTTATAGTGTAGTACAAAGATCTCAAAAGATAATCAAACAGAAAGTTCATTGATCAGAAGTAAATTATGTATGTTTGCAGAATTTTATCCTTCAAAAATAAAAACGTACTACTAAAAAATCCACTCATTTCCTAGGAACATAATGTTAAGTATAATTTAAATTGTAATTATTTTAAGAAGTTGTTAGCGTTTTATAATAGAAGGTTAAATAACTAATCAACCGTTTTATCACTATTCTGCATCAGCGCGAAAACAAATTTATAACCAAACATTACAATTTAATAATTTGACAACGCTGAGCGCATGTATATTATATCCATCTATCAACAGATTTAGCGGACCACGTGGTGATTAGCACGTGGTGTTAAATAAGTACTTACATGTGTGATGTGAGAAAACAAACGAAAAGAACTGCACTGCAGTTTATCACAAACTGTCTTTATCACTTTTAAAATTTATTATACCTACTAAATCGACCGATCAAGTCGGCGACGAGTGAACGACTACTATGAAATGAGGAAAAAGCGGCAACCAACTTTGCAACATAATTTATATATGTATGTGTTTACTCGCGGGGCTTGGATTCTGACAGTGCAATCACTTGTTTGTATGTGTGTGAGAGAGATCGACCAGTGGCGCCTTATATGTATCTACATATATAGATAATAATATATATATATATATATATATATATATATATATATATATATATATATATATATATATATACAGTGTGTCAATTTTAAAACTTACAAAGAACAAAAGCTGATCTTGAAAAATGCTTGAAACCGTTTCTAAGATAGTACGGGGGAACTAAAATAACATTAAAGACAACTCACCCCTATCAACCCCCTAGGCCCCACTCACAACAACCAAAAAGTTTAAATTGCATACCCCCATTTCTGCTACATCATTGAAAATACTAAAAGGTGAAGCAATAAATTGCAAAACTTTGGCTTAAATGGAAAATTTAATAAGGCTTTTGATGAACAATAAATTTGTTAAAAATGTCAATTAAGTAAATGTTTAAAGTGGGTTCCGTCGTTTTGTAAACAATAATACAGCCCATTTTTAAATTCTTTTTCGAAATACCCCAAGTGACACGAGTTGAGTTTTATAAACATCTGACTTGAGGTAACTTCATAGAAAAAAGTCAGGTGGCGGTTAGTCTGGTGACCTCGGTGACCACTCCATTGGACCTCTCCTTTTAATTCATTTGTTCGGACAATGAGAGACTGAAAACATTCCTTCAAAGAGAAATTCCACAAGAGCAAACTGGATTTATCAAAGGTAGAGGCACTCGCGAACACCTGCTGAATATAAGACAGATAATCGAGAAATCTAGGGAATTCAACATCCCACTATACATCTGTTTTATAGATTACCGTAAAGCGTTCGACAGGGTCAAGTGGAGACACTTATGGCGAATACTAAAAGAAGTAGGCGTACCACAACATCTAATTACGCTTATAACCGAACTATATGAACACACTACTGGATCAGTTAAAGTACTTGACACACTTTCAAACGAATTTCATCCAGAACGGAGTGTCAGACAAGGATGTATACTATATATATGTATACTATCTCCACAATTATTCAACATATATGGGTAGTATATTATGCGAAGAGCACTTGAAGGATGGGAAAAGGGCATCTCAATAAATGGTCATAAACTAAACAACCTACGTTTCGCAGATGACACAGCCCTTCTTGCAAATAGTCAAGCAGAGCTGATAGAACTTATACGACTGATCGAAAACGAAAGTCAAATATTTGGTCAGCAATTAAACATATCAAAGACAAAGATCATGATAGTGGATAGACCACACAACAATCATCCACACATAACCATAACCAACAATTGACCGGTTCGAGGTTGTGAGCTCATACTTATATCTGGGATCATTAATCACAAACACAGGATCATTACAAGATGAGATTAAACGTAGATGTGATCTAGCAAAAGTTGCCATAGCAAAAATGACCAAAATATGGAAGGACTGTCAAATTTCAAGAGCGATAAAGATGAGGTTGATCAACTGCTTAATATTCCCAATACTGACCTACCTCATGTGAATCTTGGACTTTGAGACAATTGGAGAGAAGAAAGATAGACGCCACTGAAATGTTCTGTTGGAGACGAATGTTACGAATTCCTTGGACCGACCGTAGATCAAATAATTCAATTTTAAGAGAGCTAAAATTTAGCCAACGACTCTCTAGTAAAGTCCATCTCCAACAATTAAAATATTTTGGGCATGTTATGAGAGCAAACACAGAAAACATGGAAAGACTCATAATACAAGGAAAGGTAGAAGGCCGAAGATCACGAGGAAGATCCCCAACAAGATGGATAGATCAAATTACAGGAATATGCCAAAGACCTATGCATGAATTAAAAGAAATGACCAAGACAGAGATCTCTGGAGACGGACAATACACGACATCACGTCGACCACTACACTCCCCATGGGGAGTCAGGATTGAAGAGAGAGATCCAACATAGTGTAAAGGTGCTCCGTTTTGTACGGGTGAAACTTATATAATTTCAACACCTTTCTAACCGATTCATGTGAAAGTCTTGTCATTGCAGATACTTGACGTGTTCATGCAGTAGGCTCTATTGCGAAATTTTTAAGGAATTCAATTTGGGATGCTTCATTCAGTAATCTTGGGGCATTCCTATTTTGTGTTGCACTGATCCCGTTTCTCTAAATTTTTCAACTAAATCGCGGAGATACCTACAGGTGACTTACATTTTTGTCTGGATGCCTTTCATGAAATATTTGAGCTGTTCGGAAATAACACTGGTTCTAGGAGGCAAATATGAAAATGATCTCCAAGCGTTCAGGTATACTGTAAACCATCGTGACAACTACAGCTGAATTACAGTACCGATCGCACAAAAATTATGAAAACTAATGACATTTAAAATTCTCAAATAAATCAATAATTATTGGATCTGACAAAACCCAAAAAACAGATTTTTTCAACTTGTTTTGCAAAAACGGCGAATTCAGTTTTTATTTAGAAAAACATTTCGACGGACACTTACCATTAAAAATAATAGTCCATGAGATAGCAATACAAATACAAAAGTCATATAAACTGATAGCTGATATCAACACCCTGTATAAATATTCAACAATAATTATACAGGGTCATCAACAGGATCAACAAAAACCTCATTAAATTTCCCATTTAAGATAAAGTTTTAAAAATTATTGCTTCACCCCGTATAATTACTATTTATACCATTGGATAGCATTTTTTATAGTCTTTTCAATGATGTATCATAAGTAGAGGTTTGCACTTTAAACTTTTTTGTTTCAAGCATTTTTCGAAATCTACTTTTTTGCGTGAGATATAGCGCATTGTTGTAAGTTTTAAAATTGTCGCACTCTTTCTCTCTCTCTCTCTCTCTCTCTCCTCTCTCTCTCTCTCTCTCTCTCTCTCTCTCTCTCTCTCTCTCTCTTTCTCTTCTCTTTCTTCTCTCTCTCTCTCTCTCTCTATATATATATATATATATATATATATATATATATATATATATATATATATACAAGATGTTTCAAAAAGGTATGTCATAAATTAACTCACGCATTCCGGGGACAAAAATAAATTGATTGAATCCAACTTACTTTAGCACAAAAGTGTACACAAAAAAAGTTACAGCCCTTTAAAGTTAAAAGTAGAAAATAAAAACTGTTTTTTTGCATTATCTCCTAAACTACTTGACATTTTGTAATAAAAATGGATACGTTACATTCTTGTTCAGAAAGCATTTTTCATAAAAAAGAAACAACAAAATCTAAGTGTAGAGTATTAGCATTTGAGTGACTTTTTCCAGTGTTCTAGCTGTCTGACTGTGGTACCATTTTCTTGCAATTTACGGCGAATGTGACCAACGTTGCCACCATTTTAACATCCGGGTTCGCGTCTTTTCTGCATCGTGTTACGAACTACTTTCCGTGCGATTTCCTTCAGACGTTTATCGTTTTGTTCGTCGCTCTCTTCAGAGGTTCGCACTCGATATCTCCGTGAAGGTTGACCAGCTATTTTGTGTTTCAATGTAATGGCGAATGTTTCATCTAAAACTTTCGGTCTTGCTAGTCGTAAAGCTTTCTGTACTTTTCTGTCTCTTAACACATTGATGAAGGTATCTACAGCAATTTCTTTCAATTATGTTGTCTGGTGCTTCTGGATAAGCCAACAGCGCTATACGAGCAGCATCTGCTTCAAATTCTTGCAAACTCTTACTTGCTCATTGAATTCTACTTCTTATTTGTGGTTTGTAGACTTGTTGTAGATGGGCATCTCCGTAACGTTTATCTAGTCGAGTGAACAAGATCTGGTAATATTTTTCTTGACCCTTGAGAATCGATCTTAGGATATATGCAGCATCACCTCGTAAAGCAGCAGTCAAGGAAACAGCCTTTTCTATTCTGTCGAATGATTGGCTGTCGCAATAGCTTCAAATTGTTCAAAGATCGTCTTTTGTATGTAACATATAGTGAGGGGAAATCTATGTAGAATACTATAACTGATTCTTAAAGGCAACACAGAAGGCCGTAGGTGTAGGAAGAAAACAGGTTTCGTGATTAAAAAATGTTTGTGAATGGACTAGAATTGGAGATAACCAATGCAGAACAATTATTCCATGTGGCAGAAGATGCCTTTGCAATGGTGATCGCCAACGTCGGATAATTCTGATATGGAACGTGAATAAGATACTTCAATTATGTTCTTAAATATAATATGTTTATAAACAAAATTTATCGCAATTTGTCTGTTTATGGCTGCTTTAAATTCTAAAAATTTAAAATAGCGTATTTAAACTTTGATAGATTTTTGAAGTTTTTGGGAAGAAGACAAACAGCAAATTTTATGTTCTGTTCTGTATCAAAATTTTATATATCGGTAGACGGCGTCCACAACTTTCGGCGTACCTACCACTTTTGCTTTAGTATAATAAGTTGATCGTCATAGCAAGACCGTTCAAGGACAAAATTGATTAAAATATTTATTCATAGTCAATTAGTTTACATTCGGAGGTTTTTATTCTATCAACGTGAGTATTTTTATCAGACACAACGATTGAATTACCAGTTTCCTAATTTGTCTAATTGGAATGGAACGTTTTAATCAAATAGATGTTTTGAAAAAGCTGTGATTTAAAATTTAAAAACCATATAATAATCTGTTTATACAATAATGTTTGCATGTCAGTATAAAAATATTTTAAAAACAATCCCTAAAAAATATAATTTATTTATTTTGAATTATGGTTTTGAAGCCAATTTTTGTTTATGACGCCCTCGATTTTTTGTCGAATTAAATGCCTTATATCCTTTTTAGTTTGAAATTTGACACTGATAGACAATTCCAAAATTGCATGCTCGATAGCCTGTAAATAGTAAATAATTACAAAAGCCACATTTCAAAATTGTATTATTCATGTGGTCACCCACATACACATTTTATGATGAATGATTGACATTA